CAGCGGAGCAGCCTCCTCGGGCCCGGCTCCGCCTCTGGGTGTGGAGTTTGTGCGGCGGAGCCTCGTCCACCCGCCCGTCCTCCTTGCGCCCAGCCCTTCGCAGCACTGGACCACCGCTCCCGAGGACGCTCACATTTGTGGGTTGTTCGGAAATTCTTTCCTGCTCTGACGTGTGAAAGAACTGTCAGAGTAAAAACTGTAAAACTTGTTAGGGCTGGGGCGGGGGAGGATCAGCTTTATTTTACATACAGTGACGTTGACCAAGTTTAAGTATATGACTTTACAAAACCAAAGATTCCCTGTGACCCGTTGCTGTCAGCTTCCTTCCCCTGTTCCTGGAAACCATGATCGTTTTGTCACTTTATTCTAGAATGTTATATAAATTGGACGGTAGAATTGTCATCTTTTATATCTGGTTTATGAGCTACTTTCTAATAGTCATCCAGTGAAAAATATAAAAATGGCTACGTTGTTGTGATCAAGTATTCACCATCTGCCAGGACTCGGAGAGCCCTTAGATGTATTATTCACTCTTCCTGACCCCATGAAGTACAGATGAGTAAACTGAAACAGCGTTCAGCAACTTTCCGGAGTTCACAGGGCTGCGAGTCAGGAGGATCAGGAGGATGTCCCCGCCGAGGCGCAGCAGCCAGCGCTCAGTGCCTGCCACCCACCGCCTTTCTCCCGTCGATTGGGGAACGCGGCTTCCTGCACGAAAGTTTCCAGTGAGTCAGCTTGGCAGCCTTGGTAAGTGCTATAGGCTTCTGTTGGGTCACGGTGTACCTTTGTACAAGAAAGATAAAATGGTTTCCACCCAGAAACAAAATGAAAACATGGGTTGTACTGTGGAGAGAGCTGCACAGCTCTCTGAATTTACTAAAAAAAAAATTGAACAGTACCCTTAAACAGTGGGGTTTTATGATTATGTCATTATATCTCAGTGAAGGTGCCGGAGATCCTCTTTAAAGCTTGTTGACACAGTCTTTAGGTGCTTCAAACCAGGTATGTGGCGCTGTAAGGGACATAGAGTTGTTCAATTCTAATACCCCTGGTATTACCTCTGTCCCATCCCCACCCTCACCCCATCCTGTTTATGCTCCACTCTTTGAACCTAGATTTCCTGTCTAGGTCCAGGTTCTACCCTGTATCACTCATGCTTGGTGCCGTTTTTTTAAAATTCATTGGTTCCTACATTAATATCACACCAATTATCTTGTTAATGACTTCCTTCCCATACACTTTGTTATTTTGTCTTGCGAATTTCAGCTCTTCAGATTTTCAAGAGGGAAAACTTAACTCCGATTAGTTACATGATAATATGTTATAATGAAAATCAAACTGGATATTTCAAAAACCTATGCTTATAGCTGGAGATGGGTTTTTAGTCTTTTTTCTTTTCTTTTCTTTTTTTTTTAATCAGGGATCAAATCTGAAGCCCTGTATGTTGTAAATTCATTCCTCTGTATGACCAACAGGCTTCTTTTAGCTATAACCACTGAATGAGTAAACATCTAATGAGATTTGCTCTGCCCCTGGCAGATGTCAACTTTCTTTTTCCCTGTATGTGTGATTTTATAAGACCAAGAGTCACAAGTGTAAAATAACTTTCTTCAAAGAACAATTAGAATAGACTCATTTGTAATTTCCCTTGCCAGTTTTCTGAAATCATACTCCTCATAGACAAGTGAGATTATTACTCAGATGTTCCATGTCCCAAAAGTAACCACCACTGGGATTAAGCAAAGAGTAGTATTAGAATTGTTTCATGTTTTTAATAGCATAGTTTGCCATTTCTTGTCATTTTATTGTGAAATTTTTCTTCTTTTATTAGTACATGTTTGTGATACACAATATTTACATCCAGCTTGGGGTTTGATACACATACCTGTCACATCTTGTTTGTTCGTATTTACTGTGTCTTCCACCCCTCCTTACCCTCTCCTTCCCCTTGTCAAAGGAGAAGGTTGATTTTTGTTTGTTGGTTGGTTGGTTGGTAAATGGGGATTGAACTTGGGTCCTTGTGCTTTCGAGGCAGGCAGCAGAACCTCTGAGCTAAATCCCTGCCTCAGGAGTAGATTGATTTCGAAGCCACACATACTTGGAGCAGTTTGGGTTTCACAATAAATTTAAAGTCACTGACAATCTAATCTTTAGTATTTCTGAGGTTGTTACCTTTGCCTTTTTTTTTCTTTTTTTTTTTTT